TCATTGCCCTCCTTTGGACACTCTCTAGCAACTTAATATCTTTCTTAATTGAGGTGCCCAAAAGTGCACACAATATTCAAGGTGAGGCCACACCACTGCAGAGCAGAGCAGGACAATCACCTCCCTTGACCAGCTGGTGATGCTTTGCCTGATGCCCTCCACGACACAGTTGGCCCTCCTGGCTGCCAGGGCACTGCTGACTCATATTCAACTTACCACTGACCAGCACCCCCAGGTCCCTTTCAATGGCACCGCTTTCCAGCATCTCATTCCCCAGTCTGTATGTACATCCAAGGTTGCCCCATCCCAGGTGCAGAATCCAGCACTTCCCCTTGTTGATATTCATATGGTTGGTGACTGCCCAAGTTTAATCAGCTACAGCCTTAACAGACTAAATCTTCTGCTGCTGCCTAAGAAGAGTGCTCAGTATGAATTCTCAGTTTTTAGTACCACAGCCCTTTATGTGGTTCCCTTTGCTGTGCTTTCAAAGCACCTTTAGCAGGGTCCAAAACCACGTTACAGATCATTTCTAGTACACTATGGTATGTTAAGGTAAGTAGTATTTAACTCACACAGCTGATCAGTCTGTAAGTGCTGCTCCCCTCCCTTCCTTTGTGGGCAGACAAAGGTGGATAGCTTCCAACAACTATGACTGATATTTTATCCCGGTATCCAATGATGAATAAGGGCACAGCTCATTTAACAAAGTACCCCAGGAAGAGTTCAGAAAGTAAAAATAATAAGTGAAGAGAGAAGAATGAACATTTGACTCTTCCAGTCATTATACTCTCTCCAGAAATAAGACCAGTTGAGTGTCCATACGGCTTTCATTTTAGCTCTGCCTTAGAGCAGTTCTTGACACTTTTGTGGTTGCTCCTCTAGCTGCTGGCTTTGGCAGCATCTACCTTGTCCCCCAGTTCCTACCTGTATTTGCCACCCCTGTCCCTGACCATATGCCACTCAAGACCACATGGACTACATGGTGCAGCTTGAAGGCCAGATTTTCCTGCAGTTCTTCATCTATGCTTGCTTCTTGCTCTCCCAGTCACTGCGAGGAATGGGGCAGTGATTGACACAGTAACAGCCCCCACACACTATCACCACAACCACATGCCAGAAATTAAAGCTGGCAATATAATGCCTAGTGATTAAAGACTAACATTAATAAAGCTGTTGTGAAGAAAGAAAAGCATTTTAGCACCTTGGAAGCTTACTCAAAACTAGCACTATTTTTTTTTAGGGAAAAATTAAAATAGGTTAGGATCCTAGGAAAGTTATGGTACTTTCCTGCAGTAGCATAACACCCACAGTATTGTAGAAAGGCAGAAGGAAGAGAGTAGGGGGATTTCCTCAGCTGCGAGAGATGGAGGATGAAGATCCTTCTGAAGAGTGCTGCCCAGAAATACGGCATAGCCAGAGGCACTGGGCTGGCCCCTGCCAAAGCACTCCAGCCTTTCCTTTGCCTGACCCAGTTGACCATGCTGCCTTTCACAGCCCGTGCTGACTGAATAAAAAAAAGGAGATCTAGCTGCTCTCTAGCACTTCAAACGTCTTAAAAATGGCTTGCAACAGTTTTTATTCATACACAATATCAGAAGCAATTTGAAGGTCTGGTAGTCTAAAATCCTTCCAGGCCTGGAAGCAATTGTTCCATATTTCATAGGTGAGCTGAAATCCCCTCCTATGCAGCTGTATGTTGTTTGCATTTCTAGTCAACAGAGAGCCGGGGATATAAAACCTATTCCACAGGAAGAAAACATTCGTCTATATCCTATAGGTCACAAAACAATCACCAAAAAATAATAAGCTTTGCTTTTTGCTGACCTGAGCAGAATTCAAACTGTGAAAATTTCCATGACCAAGATCAGTTGGTTTAGCTACAGTGCCTAAGTGGGTAGCTGGTTTTAATTTTTGCATACTTGACTTTTGCTGTTTGATTATTTCAGGCATCTCATTTCCTCGAGTATTACTTAGAGGAGGGATGAAAATAAAATGATACACGAAACTATGAAATGAAATACAACTGACATTCACAAAAGAGACAGAAAGAGGAGATCTTGTTCTAAAGGAAGCATAACTTCACTGGAATAGACAGAGATGCTTTGTTTGTGCCAGGACTCTGTTTTTCCCAGAGAAGTCCAATCTAGAAAAGAAAAAAAACAGGATAGAGGAAGGCCATCATCATTACTGTAGGCACTTAATTAGATTTCCTAACTGTATCTTGATTGATCTGTAAGGTTTTTAGAGATAGGGAGCCAAACAGCATTAGGGGGAAAAATTGAATTTTATGGAAACCTTACTGAGTCAATAATTTTCCCTGGCTCCTTTTTTCATTCCTTGAATCCATTCACAAAGCAAAACCTCCCTTCAATCCCATCAGTGCCTTCACGGCAGAGTCTGCCAGAGTCAGTGCCAGGGCTGAATGAGCTCTCTGTGTCTGCTCTGCCTGCAGTTCTCCCTGCTTCACCCACAGCACCCCAGCCACTGCTGGTACTAGCCTCCACACAGCACTTCTATGTCACAGCCCAGCATCAGTGGGATTTTCCCAGCTGCTAGCAAGCTGTTGCTGGGTATGTGATCTGGGCCAACAGATAGAGCTTGTCAGGTAAAAGGAAGCCTACAGGAAAGTAAAGCCCCTACAAAACACCTTTGTCGATGACAATTAAAAAAGCATTAAAACTGAAATAAAGATCGTATCATGACTATATTTCACTCATACTTTCTTCCCTTGATATCCACCAGGATAGGACTGTATCATAACATTTGTAGGGATGGGGATTTATGAACCATACAGCTTCTGAGCAGACAGAAATTGGTAAAGATCCAAGCTGGAACAGATTTAAACAAATCCATGGTGGTTTTGGAGTGGGTTAGCAGCTGCCCTGGACTAAAATCTAGGACTGAAAATCATTAATAATACCTAGTTACCCACAGAAGGCTTGGACTCTATTCTCCACCACTGACAGCTCAAACATGGAATCATTACTAGGTTTAGATGATATCGAAAATAAGCATGCTTTGTGGAGGACACTGTCATTTTGCATGGATTGGTAGTCCAAGCTTTCTATTGCAGGCTCATTCAAATATGTGCATTTTTTTAAAAAGGAAAAAACCCCACATCTAGGACGCATACCTCTCTAGGACATTTGCTACTGCTGTCAAGATGGAGGTACTGTTCATTTTCCTCATCAGGCTCAGCAGGCATGCTGGAGGTCTCATGCTGTGGAAATCTGCTCGCTCTGACTAGCAGGTGGAGAAATGAATTACAGCAACCATCCCTCTAGGCAAACAAAAAAAAAATAAATCTACTGGTTGTCACAGTAGTTAGGTGTGAGTTCTCATTGTCCTTCACTTTTGGAGGGAGTTTTTTTTGTCTGCAGATCAGTTAATATTATCATCTGTTCATCTCCCAAGGTGTTGGTTCATTTCTGTTGCCTTTTTCTCACACAGCCATTAGGCACAAACTGTACTGGATTGCCCTAATGAAACCTAGTGATTGCTTCTGTTGCTGCCTTTCCCTAGCCAGCTGGCCCTTGGGGTAGTACCACTATACATCTCCTTCTTGGGACTTCTTCACTATGTATTCTACATCAGTGCCTCTACACTCCCTGTACTATAACAATTTCCCTCTGTTTATTTAAAAATGCAATCCAGTATAATGGAAATTTTCCAGCTACCCCAGTCAAGTAAATAACTACATTTAATTTGGAACCTAGAATTCCTTTGTTTCACTCTGCTGTGCCATATAGAAACAAGACAAGTACCCAGTGGTACAAAGTCAACAGCATGTAATCAATACCACATAGTCCATCTAAAAAGGGCTTTCTTATGACTCTATGGCACAGAGATGAGGAAAAGACTCTGATATGACAGCATCAACTTAGAAATATTCCCAAGAAACCTGATCTCTCAGAAGTATCAGATGAGTCATAATTACTCCTTCAGTTGGTTGGGGAGGGGGACATGGATAAATAGCTTATTAATACTAGCTCATAAAATCTAAAAATTGCAACAACCCCACAGGTGGTTCAGTTACAGTGGCTGCTATGTAGGGGAGACAGAGCCAAGACCCGCCCAGCCTCTGTAGCTTGTCTCCCAAACTTGTAGCTCCACTACTTCCCATTGTGGTCAGAACCAAGGTATGAGCTGTGTAGGAGTGTTTGCAAGTGGTATTTCTCCAAGGCAGTGTAACACTGACACACGCATTCTGATAAACTAAATCATCATCCATCCCTGCAAAAAGGCAAACTGAGTGACAATGCTGGTGGATTTTTGCAACATAACCCCAGGTCTGCCAGCCAGTCTTTGCTTTTAAGGCTTGGGCTAAGCAGCAGTGGGGTCCACATGAACATTAAACATATTCTCAGGGAGAGAGGGGGAAAGTTGTATCTCCAGAAGACTATGCTTTTGTGGTGGTTTAAAGACAGAAGATGCTCGTATCAGAAAATATTTGTGTACAGTCCATTTGAAAATACTCAAATAATGTTATGACTGAATTACTTGGCTCTATTTTCACAGTAAACTCAGCTATAGCAAACCTCCACTTATAGCAAGGCAAATTAAAGTCACTAATTGTTTCATATGTGCAATGTGGGAATTGCAGTTTCATTTATAATGAAACTTTGATTACATTATAATTATTCTGACATAAAAATTATTCCATTTTCAGAGGCTTCTGCTGTGTTTTCAGACTCTGTTTGTGTCTGCAGTAGTTTTTATATTTCTTGACTAGCATTGTGCAATCACAAATCTTTAAGCTTCCCCGGAACTGTGATTCAGATTGCTTGATTCTCAAAATCTGGACAAACTCAGCAGAAACACTTTTGGTGGAAAAACAAACAGAAATGCAGTGTTTTGGACAGCCTGATAAGTTCTGATTGTTCTGTACAGAATCCCAGCGGAAATACCAACTGCTGCTTTTTACTTTACTAGGCAAAATTCTGCACTTGACATGTCCTCTAGTGCTTTTCCTGTTACAGAAAGCCACTGTTCCTTTCTAGAAGATGCTTCTGTGACTTCCTACCAGAGTGTATCCAGTAATTGCCTACAAAGTATGAGCATGCCTACACTGAACATCTGGAATGAGAAGACATCATTGAAAAGACCTTCACAAACTTGTTCCTAAGGTAATTAAATGCATAAATCATATTTCTCAGGACCTTCTCCCTCCTGTAACATGTTTTGCTTCACACTCATCCATGAAGATCACCTCCAGGTGGTTATTGGCACAACTTTGAATGTTACAGTTTTTGATATTTCTCCTATATGTTTGCACTGGTATGACAGTGGTTTGGGACTCTGAACTGTTTGTAGCAGGGATCTAATTTTCTTGGATTTCTATGTCTAATACCTACAGACTTGAAAGCTTCCTAGAATAATACATAATAATAAGCTGAATTTTATCAGCTGTGCTTCCTTTACAACATTTCCAATGTCCTCTCCTATTACAAAGGGAAACTGTAGCTATCAGCTGACATAGGAGGGGAGCAACTCTACACCCTAGAAAGCCTAAAGTAGTTACAGATAGTACAGTGAAGGAAGAAGTATTTGTAATTATTGTCAACAGATATGGGTATGAAGTGACTGACAACAGTGTGTAATTGTGGCCCAAAGAAGGGAGACTTGCAGCTGAGACCAAGGGTGTTGTTTCCATGTCACTGATACGAGGATTGAACTGTGAAGTGAATATTCACATCACTGGAGTGAGAAGTATTCAATTTCCTCAGGATAAACTCTCTGTAGTCTGAAAGTGTGAGGAAAATGTGTTAGGCCACTTTCTGGGAATCCTTTTGTGAAAATGAAACAGGTTTCCAAGATATGAGAAAATTAACACCCCAAACGAAGCTGTTTTGCCAGATGACTTCAGCCTTTTCATGTTAAATGCTCTTCCACAAAAAGACTTCAATTCTTCTGAGTAACAGCTGCAGGCATCAGCAGTAATATGCTTTAGGATTTAGCTAGCATTACTAATGAATTTTTATGTGTGACATACCTCTGGATGGAAAAACTACCATATTAACATTGAAAAGTGGAACCAATTTAACCTGGATTGTTTAGGTGCTTTTCCCATGCTTCTATTTTATAAATACTAATGACATGTTCTACTGCTCATGTTATAAATTGTTCATGTGACACAGGCATTCACTTCTATATATTTGAGGACTACACTGTCACTATTTTAGAAGATCTCAGTGTTCTCAGCTGGAGAAACTAGTATTACTTCTAAAAGTCTGTACAGCCCTACATAGGACTTGAAATCTTCTGACTTCTCAATGATGGGAGTCTGGTGCCATTAAAAATCTGTCTTCAAGTTTCTTCTTGTGATTTGTGTTTTATTCTGAAGGGTATTCATCAATCTTGTATTTCTTTCCTTGAAATTTCAGTCATTCTGCATTCATAGAGACTTATTATGGTAAATACATCTGCATCTTTCAGTATGTCATGGAGTTCCAGTTGGCTAAAAAATCCTTTGATCAGTTATAATAAATGTCTTGGTTCAGATAATGTCAAAATTATCAATTAACAAATAACATTAGTGCTGGGGTACATCCCATAATTGTTTACCATCCAATTGTATTCTTGATCGAACCTAGAGACATCTGATGATGCTGGAAAAGTATAATTAGCAAATCTGATCGTAATCTATCATAAACCAAATTAACATATGGAAAATTATTCAGCTAATGCTTCAGAAATCTAAAGAGAATTCTTATTATGTTAGAATGTCTTTCACCAGACACCGCCATGAAAAGAAAGAAAGGTAAAACTAATTAAAGCATTTCCTGTAAAAATCACTTTTCATTACGAAGTTCCATATGTCAAAACTGAAGCTATTGAAAAGGATTGGTTTTAGGAAGTCAGGATAATTTAAATTCCAAATTGTTAAAATACCTTGTTTTCATTCTGTAAAGGGAAAGTCTTCTTTTCTGACGTAAGATTCTTTTTGTTTGTTTGTTTGGGGTTTTTTACAGCAATTTCCATTACTATATAATGGAAAAGATTTAAAAAATGGGAAGTCAGAAAAAAAAATCCTGTTTTGACTAAAACAGTCCTTTTTATATTATGACATCTCACTGAATTTTTTCTTTTTGTCCTGAGTGAGCTTTGCAATCTCTGATCCTCCAGATCAGAGACCTGCTTTCCATTCAGCTCTTGTACACATCAGCACTTAATTATCTCAGCATTCTGTGCTATTGGTTTTAGTTAGGAGTCACGAGACAACATCAGTATTTTAAAACCTGTCCAAACTTCCAAAGTCTTTCTTTGGGGGCATATATATTTTAGTATGTCTTTTCATACAGATGTAACTTTAAAATTGTTAACATTTTGCACCTTTTTTTTCCCCTAGACCATATTACATAATAAAAATAGCTGTTGTGTTTTGTTAGGCCTTTCTTTATCATCCAGCAATAGACAGTTGATCCATCAGTGTGTATTTCATGTGCAAATCCTTTGATTTTCTGTTATACGCTTCCATTGCTGGTTCCATAATTTTTTATATGCAGTTCCTTTGATCTTGAATAAATTAATTTGGAACCACTAGTAATTGACTGAATTTCCTACATAAAAGCATTTAATATACTACCTTTTGAACTCTGCTCTCTCACATGCTAAGAGAAATGTTAAAATTCATATCACGTTTAGCAGAACAGCAAATCTGGACTTGGTCATATTCAGACAGAATTTTAAAAATAATGCCCTTGCAGGTAGCTTCTTGGTGACTCACTGCTTAATTGGAAATCTTTAGTCAAGACTATGGTGTTGTCATAGCCAAAGGGAAACTACCTCTTAAGTAACAGCTCTGACATCAGTGCAGGGGCTACATGATAAAAGCAAAACTTTGACCTTCACACAGACCTTTATCATCAACCTCACCTAAGCACCAAAGCACCAGTTCAACATACTACTACGACTCCATTCAGGGACAATTGTCTGCTTTATCAGCTACAGTTTTGCAGGATTTTGTAGTGAGCACAAGAGCAGTCTGTTCCCAAAGTGACTAAGACTTTTGGTCAAGAGTGAGGCAACACCTGTGCTGTGTGTTGAAGCAAGACACAACCACTTTAAGGATGTGCAGATGTCTGAAGGCTCTGAACCAGCACTGTTATCCTGTGCTACATCTTGGCTTTGAGCTCCATGAGAATATGACTGTTCCGTATTTGGTTTATTCAAAGTGCAGACAAAGCAATTTCCCTGTATGGCATGTAGACCTACCCAAGGTCTACAAGGAGCACTTGTACCCCTTTCACCAGTAGCAGATGCAAAGGTCCTCGCAAATAGAAGAGAACCAGACACTAGATGCAAATAGCTGGTGCCTCTGGACCAGTGACACATTGAAACTATTGACAATTATTCTACCAACCCTGTAATATAACTCTATCTAGAGGGGGACTCAGCTAACTACTGCTCCAAGGACAGTCACTAAATCTGTGCAGGCACCATGTCATTCATTGTCATTCATTTTGGTGTGTGGCTTGGGTCAGAGCAGATGGACATGCGGAGACAGCAATCATTAACATACTGATACCTATCTACCACTTATTGATGCAGTAAGACTCCTATGCATGTTCAACAGGACAGCTGAGAGGTCACAATGTCACATGATAATGCTTCTAAGGCAAACCCTGACCCTCTCAGGCAGCTAACAAGGAAATTAACAAAGGCTTTAAATCGTCAATCTTTCACCCTACCAATAACCAATAAGGGTCACCCTGTAAGTCACTGTCAGATCCTACTGATCCTACTTAGTTGAATTAACTTAACTCTGACTTGGACTAAGGACTCAGTTTCTGTAACCCATGTTGGAAACCTCAGACTTAAAATATGCAAATCTGATTGAGTTTTCTGCAGGATCTGAGCAGGCTTAAATTGGGGCTACATAGAATTTAGGTTTAAATACTCCCCCACACTTCCTAATCTTCCTGCAAGGCAGTACCGAGGGAGAGGAATGCTCTCTTGGCACTGTAAAAGCTGTAGAAAAATCAGTAAGAGGTGAACTCCATCTCTTCTGAGTGCAGATGGACAAGTGAAGGGCAGGGAGGACATGGGATGATGCGTAGTTGTGGGGGATGTTCATGTCCAAGTTAATGTAGGTGCTCAGACTCTGGCTGGCAGCATTCAGGATAAACCAAAACCAGTAACTCCCTATCCTGCTTCAATTTTCTGAGAAATAAAAAAGAAATCACTCAACTACAACCCATAGATTGTGTAGCATATACAAGAAGGAAATCAAACAGTTGCCTATCTGTCATTAGAAGAACAACAATCGAGTTCATTATCTGGGATGTTTACCTGATAGCCTGTAGAGAGATCCTGAACTGTCCTGAATATCACCGTGATTCCTAATGCACTGTATTCTCAACTTAATTTCTCAGAAGAGGAATGGTTCTGTCTAAAAAGACTCACACTTTCAGAATACTGTTTCCTATCAGGAAGCACCACAACAGCTTCCTTCAGATTACAAGCATCCAGTTTGTGGCCAAAAATATTCTAATGCTTTATTCATCTCCATAATTGCTGTCTTTAATATTCCCTGTCCCACTAGCTGGGAAATCAGGCAAAAAATAAAACCAAAATACATTGATGTTTATCTTAATGGAATATCTTCATGGTATGGAACTGAGTGTAAAGGAGAACACACAGTTACAATGGCATCTTCATGACAGAGTTAAAGACAGCAGTAATTTAGCAGCTCAGTCAGCAGCAACACATTTACAACTAAATCCAAAGACAGATGTCTTCAGTTTTGTGACCTTAGTGTATACAGCAGCTCACCTCCAGCCAGCCAGCTTGCTATTATGGGAGGTGGGATTTTGCACCCTTACACTCAGTTTGTGCTCAGCACAGATGCCTCTTCTACACAAGTTTTGCCATGACCTTGAGATTGTGTTAAACATTAGAAAATTATATCAAGCATGTAGCAGAACAGGAGCTGTTAGAGGCTTAGCATGCACATCCATCACTACCCAAGAATGCCCATCTGAAAGATGTCCAAGCAGAGAGGGTGGGTTTTGACTGGAAGTTGCCACCTACCTCCTACCCCTGAATTTTGACACAGATTGATTTGGCCTTTTCTCCTTATTGCCTCCTCTGAGATACAGAGCCAAGAGGTGAGAAGATTTGGTAT